TTTTTATTATTCCCATTTCTAATTTATTGGGAAAATTTCAGACGGTTACTTAGGCAGTAAGTTCGGTTTTACGGATGTTCCCATTTCTTAGCGTCGTTACACTTTGTTTTTAACACAAACAACATTTTATTTCAACATGGGGAGAGAAACATAAACTGTGACTATACGGCACTAGAATTTTCAGCCTTAGTCAGATGCTCAAAAGCAGCCTTTGGCAGAAATGCTTTGACCTTCAGGAGGACTTGAGCTCACATCCTAGAACCAGGCTGCCTGATGCTCTGGGCTAATAGTGCTGTCTCTTTATCAGGTGCGGGACCTGAACCAAGACAATTACAGATAAAGGCGACCTGTGGCTTCCTCTCACCACATCTTCCTCCCACAGAGGTCAGGCTTTGCTTTGGGGGCTGTCCCCAGAAAATGCCAGGCCTCCCATCCCACTGGGAGGCACGCCCCTCAGTGCAGGGTTCTGGTGTTGGGACATTCAAGCAGCCGCAGCCTGGGCACTGGATGCGGGGGCTCACCTGAGCACGTGCTACAGGGCAGGATCTCCACACGTCCCACTTTGCCTGGAGCCTTCCTGCCACCAAACTGTTGTCAGGAAGAGGAGCAGGCCAGCACCGTAGGTGGCTTCCCAGTCTCCCATTACCTTCCTGCCCCCATTCACTGTAAAACGGCTGTGGACACATGGGAAACGGCTTTTCAGCCACGAGTGTCCTAAATGCTCGCAGGACACAGTTTGCTTGCACACTGGTGCCGAGGGGACCCAGGGAGGAGACTGGAGGGGTCCAGGAAGTATGCTTCCTGCATGTGGGCCTCTAACAACTAAACTCTGGGGAACTCACTGAGGATGACCTGAGAGTTAGTGTTGCTTCTGCAAAGGAGGCTCTGTGATCAGACACGTAAGTGTCTGCAGCTCCCCCTGGCAGCAGGCAGGAAAGTGGCTCATGCTCAGCAGTGGGAGGCATCAGCCACGTACACAGCTGCATGTGATGATGTGAGTGGAGAGGAGGAGGTCAGAGGAGCTGTGCAGAAAAGACTGAGTTAGCATTTTGGTTCATGAGATAAGAACTTCTGGCTGAGTGCAAACTCTACAGTGTTTCTGTCACACATGCTAGTAACAGCAAACCTCGGCTGGAAGCACAAGTCAGATGCCTGGTCCGGACACCAACGATGTTCTGAAGGTAGCTGTCTGTTGCACAGTTAGTGCAGGGAAGCCTGACCTGACCTCCTATTTCAGGTACAAACATGTTGACTGGGCTTGGGCCCCTGTGCTCAGCAGCTGGAATTTAAACATACTTATCTTCAGTGCCAGAAGGAAGCCTCACTGAGGCGCTGACGTGTGCCTGCCTCGCACGTGGGAACTCCACTCATCTCTCTCATTTTGGCCTTGGCTGCACGGGACTCAGAGCTAAATGATGTATGGTATTTAAACCCCTGATACCATCTGGGTTTCCAGTAAAATTATGTTTCAATTTCCCTCATGTCTTCCCTACTTTCTCTTTTTAACTTTTACCTGTGCAGCTGTACGTGTGCTTACCACACACCTCAGACTGGTCATGAAGTAATAACACTGGTAATCATGACAGTTTATCTTTTGTTCAAGGACACAATTTTTGAAGTAAGGCAGACCATCTAAAAAATAAGTATTAGAACCTTAACTCCTAACCCCTCAGTTTTTAACTAGGACCTGAAGTAAATTGTGAATTCCTTTTTCAAGTTATAGTTCCCTTTCACAGGGATTGTCCAGTGGCTGATGATCCCCTGCCCTCTAAGCCCCACCTCTCAACGTCAGCCACTGCCACAGGAAGCCAGAGCCCCCCGTGAAGCACATGACCAACTGTCAAGGGCCACACAGGGGGTGTCCTACAAAGTAAGAGAGTGTGTGCTAAAACTGAGGTTAATATTTGATTTCCTTAGACATTTTCTTACCATGAAAAGAAAAATCAGGGGGTTAAATATGTGACAATGGAAGGATACTTGACTTTGGGTGGTGAGCACACAATGCAATATACAAGTGATGCACCATATAATTGTACACTTGAAACCTATAGAATATTATTAACCAATGTCACACCAATAAATTCAATAAAATAAAAAAGAGAGAGAGAACTAGTAGGCATCATTTCATCACTCAGTATCAAATTTCCTAAAAATTGTTTTGATTTTTGACAGTGTTGATTCTACACACCTGCCTCAAATTATGTTTCTCATGTTCAAATAAACAGAAAACCCATCATACTAAAATAACACCTTTTTAATGGGCTATGAACTGATGTGATATATGAATAAAATAAAATTGTAGCCCTGACAGAAATATCTTCATTGAAAAACTTATCCCTAAAAGACCAAAAGTACAGGTCCTTTCATCAGAGCCCCACGGAGGTGGCCATCCCTGTGCAGATGGGACAGCAGAGGTCAGGGCCATGCTGAGGATGGGGTGCAGGTGTTTGTGTGCCTGAATGGCTGTGGGAAGGGGGAACTTTTACATTGGGAAGTTTTTTAAAACTGGAACAAAACAAAGCCAGGTATAACTGAACTCTCACAATGTCCAAGGATGCTAACGGATACATGCATCTTACTTACAGAAGGAGCCCCTTTCAGTTTAAGAAATGCAAAGGTCATCCCTCAGTTACAAATTACTGATAATACGTAGATATCAAAAAATAAGACTCAGAAAGCCTCACTGGACACCTCAGAAGATTCCTCGAGAAGACATTCAGCAGTGGCCTAAGTTCTGAATGGAGATTAGTTTTATACAATAGTCTGCAACTCCATCAGGTTAAAACTTAGGGAAAGGAGTCCATATGTTAAACTGGACAGAGGAAACCAAAGCTCTGTCTTTGCACTGGGACAGCTCTCCACCGCTCTACCATGTTACACCTTCCAATTAACTATTTCCATTAAAATATTAGGGATTCTAACTATTACACACAATATAGCTCATGGTAAAAATTATAACACTTAAAAAAATTAAGTTAAGCCCGACTGGCATGGCTCAGTGGTTGAGCATCAACCTAGGATCCAGGAGATAGGGGTTCAATTCCCGGTCAGGGCACATGCCAGGGTTGCGGGCTCGATCCCCACTCAGGGGAGTGCAGGAGGCAGCCGATCAATGACTCTCTCATCATTGATGTTTCTATCTCTCTCCCTCTCCTTTCCTCTCTCTGAAATCAATAAAGACATATTAAAATAAATAAGTAAATAAATGAAACTCATCTTTAAAAAAAATTTAAAAATTTGTTGGAAGATTTCCCAACTTGGATATTTCTGTGAATCCTCCCTAAAATTCCACCTGCTTGGCTCCTCCCACACGGTTCAGAGTGTGCTGCGCCCAAGTACCCATCCTGTCTCAAGGCCACCCTCGAGTCATGCCCATATGAGTCTAGGTCCCTCCTTTAGGAGGGAAAGGGGTCTGGGAGGCAGGTGTGCATGTGCCCCACAGGGACACACCACAGCTGATGCTGTGCACCTTGGCAGGGACATGGTGTCTGAAATAATTCTTTGGAAACTTTATAGTGGTTATGAAACATCTAGCTGACACTTAATTAAAACTTCTTAGCCAAATTTAATCATTTTGTTAACAGTATGATAAAGTTTAGTGACTAATCAAGAGATGATTTGGGGAAAATTAGATTTCACTCATGGTTTGCTAACCTGTTTTCCAGTGAAAATACAAACAATGTGGTTTTACTAAAACTTAGATTTAGGTTCATATAAATACTCCACACAATAGCATAAATTCTTTAAATAAACTATTTAAATCACATAGTTTAATAATTCACTCTTTCATACAGTAACAGTACTGATATAATAAATTCAACTAAATATTTTAAATCACAAAATTTTCTTAAAAAAAGGACTTGCTATTCCTTTGGTGCATATGTAACAGAAGCCTGATAACCATTTCATTATGGATGCTCGTTAAAAACTCCCTGCCTCCTTAAATGCTGGCATAGGGGTTTGGGGAGTAATCTGTAATTTTTCCCTTGATTTTACTAGAGGACATTCAAAATAACTGCTTGATTTCACCCATAAATTAGGTTGAGCTGAAAGGACATGAAGTACAGACAGTGGAGGAAGGTCCCCTGGTGCTGAGGGCACACCTGCTTCGGCATCTGAGCTCTGACCCCCTGGGCCTGGTTTCTGATGGTGTGTCAGGCTGAGTGACCTTGGTCTAGCAACCCGATTTGCGAAAATTAGCTAAAGATACGCTAGAGCCTATACGCACTCATCACAGGGAAACGTCCACTGGAGGGAAGTTGCTTCCATGTCACAGAGAACTTCCTCACGGAAACTTGAATCTGAAGACCGGCCCCTCCACGGTGCCCACTCCACCCCAGGTGTGCACGCCTCAGGTGTGCATGACAGAATTCTGCCGAGACGCAACAATTGCCTCGCCACCTCACCTCTACGTGTTCTCCACACCCGTATCTCTGACAAGCCTAAATCCCAGGATTTGCGAGGATAACATAGTTGTTTAAAGCCCCAAACTCTCCTTAGACGATCAGTCCTGTTTCCCTCCTCTGTAATCTCCCCCTGCAGCTGCCCAAGTACTGGGTGTGGGCTCCTGTCCCAGGACAAACTGCTCAATTATGGAAGCCACACTCCTGCAGAAAGATCTGAAGGTCACACTTTGATTTACCGGCTGTGATTTATCATTCTGCAGCTACCAGCGTGAGAACATAGAGAAGGAGAAAGAAACCATCTCAATGACAGTGTGGGAGGGTGTCAGAGAGCTTCCCGTGCATACGGCAAAAGGAGTTTCAGGCTGGTCTTAATTTGTGTCATCTTGCATATTATCGTGAACTCTGCCCCATGAAATATTAAGAATGGCTTACGTTTTGAGAACCTGTACAAGAGACCAATGATTGAGTTCACACCAGAGGGAAAAAAGTACAACACTCATTGTCCTCCAAGAACACCTGCCCACTCATCTTCATCACTTGGTTTGTGTCCCTAAGCCATCTGAGACAGACAATGTGAAAGAACGCAGGCATTACCTTCTGTGTCTTGCATATTTGCCACTAACGTGACCGCTGCCGTCACAGCCAGGAGTGGGACAACTGCAACAGGAAAGAATTAATTACACAGGGGCCGCAGGCCACAGGCATGTTAGACTGAAAGCTTCAGTGACAGTACAGAGGAGGAGGGCCACACACATGGGCAGACAGAACTCAAACCCTTGAGGGGGAGGTCAGGGATGCTTCTCATTAGTGAGTCCCAAGGGAGGTAATTTCAGAGCGGTGGGTCGCCATGAACTGGAAGGACAGCCTACCCATGAGAAGGCCTGGACTTTCTACACTGCTAATGGGGATCCATTTACCCAGAGCACTGACCTGAACAGCTCCTGTACGGCTGGCTCCACGGGAACTGCGGAGAGAGGCAAACAGATAACAAAGCGTCACCGACCACAGGCTCCCTCTCCCACAGCACATTCCCGAGCACGGTCAAGGCAGCGGCTGCATGAATCGCACAAACAGCTTCTGCAGCATGAAGGTGACCCCGAGTGGAGCCTCCGGGGACTCTGGGAAGCGTGGACGTACCTCGAACCCCTTTGGAACGTGTGCGATGACGCTTCTCCTCGGCGTCCACCTCCATCTGGGGACAGATGAGCAGGCAGTCAGTGTCCTTCTCCTGCACACAGAGCCAGCAGGGTACGTGCTGCGCCCTGGCATTTTAGCGCAGTGTTTGAACCCTGTCCCCCTCTGTGCAGGCAGGAAGCCTCTAGAAGGGGAGGGTCAGGCAACCCAATGGCTAGAAGTGACAGACCAGGCTGGCCGTCGGGAGCACTCAGTCAGGGCCCTGCCGGGATGGGCCGAGTGTAGCCTGCTTCCTCTCTCTTAAAGGGCTCATTAGGACACACTAGGTTGGTTCTGAGTTGAACTTTGTACTGAAAATGTAACAGAAGGTTTAACCTTGTATCTGTGCCATGGCTGGGTTCTGTGTGTTCACTGGGAGGTGCAGTCTGCTCAGGAGTGGGTATCACAGGACAATGCTGTGCCTTGGGGGTACTCTCCCTGTCACCTAGTTTCTGGGGAGCAACTGCCATCCACACTGATCTAAATTGTCAGGACGCTTTCCAGGGACACAGGCCCTGTGCTCACAGTAGCCTGTACATCCTACACTTTGGAGACTGTGAAATGTTTCCGTGTATCACTCCCTGACCCTCACAACAGCTCTGTAAGGAAGGTACTGTTACGATGTCTCTTTCATAGATCTGACTTGTCCAAGGAGAATTTAGGTGCAGGGCCGCAAACCGAGCCACCTGCCTCCACGTGCCATTTCTAAACCACGAGCACATGCTGGACGGCGAGTGTGTGCTGTCTGTGCACTGTGTGAACGATTCACACATGGCAAACTGCCCAGCAGGAGAATCCCAGTCCACACAGTGGGCCTAACAGGGAGCAGTAAAGATGAGACGGTAAGTCCTCTGACTACAGAAGCAGAACTGCTCAACCCATCTGTGACTCTGCCTGTCTGGGTGGCCAGAGCCACATAAGATGTTACTCCCTCCACTGTCCATGACAACCCAGGTCACACAGGGTGAAGCAACCCCGTCAGATGCGTGGGCTCGTTAGAGGAAGAGACTGAACAGAACAGGGCAGGCCTGCTCTTCAGGGAGACTGCAGGCCAGGCACAGCTCTCCAGACAGGACACGAAGCCATCACAGCATCACACAGCATCTCCCGATGTGCCATTCATATCAACTGACCATGAAATAGTCATTAACACTGCGTGCCGAGAATGGTACCGGGAAATAAAATACATGTAATAAAAAACAGCAGCTCAGTCAATGGGCTTAGTATCTTTTCATGGGAGGTGTATATGTTCAGATATAAGACTGAGAGCACATAAAAATTTCAGGAGAGGAGGAGCCCATGTGAAGTGCATACTGAGGAAGACGCCCAGGAAAGCTGTGACACTTAAGGACCATTCAGGTGTGGAATGAAGGTAGAGGGGCTGTACCTGAGCTTACATATGGACCCTGCACACCCAGCTGTTGGATGAAGGAGTGAGGCAGTTTGCAAGGACGATGACAAGGTAAGGAAGGGGCAGGAGGAAGATCAGTACTGGGAAGACTTGGGGGGGTTGGTGACAGAGCAGAAAGGGCTGGTGTGAGGGTGCAGGATGAGAGGGAGGGGGCACAGTCAACCCAACAGCTATACAGCTGCTGTCATTTTCTGAGCACAGTGGACGGGGGGAGGCACCTCACAAGCATATTTTAGAAAGTAATTCATGAGTGGGTTGAGAGCGCACAGAGAGTAGCAGAATTGAGAGGAGATGACAGTCACCTAAGAAGGCAGGGCTGCCACAGCGCCTGGACAGGTCTGTGTCCCTCGCCTGTGATGCCTGGACTTTCAGGGAGAGAAGGGTGCAGGAGGAAGGAAGTGAACTGAGGAACTGAAGGAGAGCCCACACAAAGGGCTCCGGCCCCTCCTGTCCTTTTAGTCACTGAGCTCGTGCGCAGAGTCCGGAACCTGAGCCCAGGCACACTGTGGGTCCTCAGGATGTGGTGGCACCTCTGGGAAACATCAGTGCTCTGACCTGCTCTTGCACATGCAGGACTCCCAAACATTGTGCAACCTCAGCACAGCCTATCGGGCCAGTATGAGTGACATGAGCAAAGTGCGTGAGTCCTGAAAGTGGTGGGGACACGTGTCACTCCATGGGGACAGTATGCTCTGGAGAGTGCATGCCTGTCAGAGCACTGGGGATACTGAGATGATGGGTAAGATCTACTCTTCAAGGGACTCAAAATTGACAACGCTCTGTGTCAGGGGACCTGATGGAGAACCAAGTATTCTCAATGTGGGACGGGGAACACGGAGGCCTGTACCCGGTTGTCCTGGGGGAGTGGACAGAGGCTTCCTGGTTGACATGAAGCTTAACTGTAGGCTCCAGGTTTTAAAGTGTGTGTCGGGCGAGGGGTCTTCCAGCAGAGGGAACGGACATGCACAGACCCTGAGGCTCGTAGGCACTGTGGCTTGTTCCAGAGGCCTCCGGAAGGGCCGTGCTGGACGGTTCCCTAGGGGGCTCTCTTCAACAGGGTGCAGGCTCCTCAGACCTTTCTAGGAGGAACACAGGCCAGTGTCTGTCACTGCTAGTCCCCTTGCCGACTTACACCTACACAGAATATGATGAATAAACCTGCGTTATAACCCCCTGGCTGTAGCTCAGGAGAGAGCTCGTCATCACCAGCAGAGGGACTGGCTCTTCTCTGTGGGCATTACATTGAAAAATTTGGCCTCATTAGCTAATTGCTCATATGACTGCGTAAGAACTGTTTTATTTTTAAAATTTTAACCCCTGTTTTTTTATGTATAGGGGACAACCTTACTTTCTTCCAGATGGACAGATGATTCTGCCATTAATCACTCATTAAATAAATGCTTTCCCCACTCATCCAAAATATCCCTCTCGCTCTATGTTAAGTTCCCACCAAATGGGGCCTCCTTTGGGGCCACTCTGTGCTGCTCCTCCCATCGGTTACCCCGTCACTCAGCCTGCTGAATCTCAGGCTCTGTTACCAGCTTTGCTCTCCGGTAAATCAGCCTCCTTACGATGAGGATTTCATGAGACAACTTATAAAAATGTCTAGCACAGCACCCAATTCACGGCAGACCAAGTAAGTGATGGTTCTCTTCTCTTACCCCACAGCTAAAGAGACCATAAAACCAAGTATCAAAACTGATTTAAATTTGCTTCTACACAGATGTTTCAGAAAGTGCACACTGCCAGCAGAAAGCAAACAACTGAGAGGAGGGTTTCATCTTCCAACGTTCACACCTGAGTGTCAGGTCAGAGGCCAATTAATACCTATGGGCATCTTCACACCATTTATTCCTTCAGGAATCCCTACTCCTCCACCCCTTCTGCTCCCTCTACCCCTCCTGCCCCCTCCATCCCACCTGTCCTCTCCATGCCTGCCTGACATTTTGAAAAGGCTTATTTCCAACTGTTGACAGTTAGAAGCACGAGGTAACCTGTGTTTCTGAGTTGTTTCTTCCAGTGGTTCTGAGGCCAGTGCTGCAGGAGCTGTACTTCTTGAGGCCATGATGGACCAGCAGCCTGTTCTAATCCCCAGCTCTCTTCTCTGGAATGGAGAGGTAACCCCACCATCATTGTTGGGTTTCTGAGTCTTTCCTTAGTAGTTCACATTTAGAAAAACCACCTGGAAGTGCTACTTGTTAATAAATATTAATTCCTTTAAGTCCAGTGCTTATTTTAATAAGGATAGGTTTTCATGGGAACTTTAAAGGATTTTATACTGAAAGAAAAGTCTTGAATTTAAAACATTACTTTTGAACCAACAAGAGCTATCAGAATGCTTCAAAGAGAGAGCAGGGGCTCCTCTGTAAAATACAAACTCTGCACTTGAAATCAGGATGTCCTTCATGACTTTCATTTTCCCTCTGCCTTCCTCCCCAGGATAAGGCACACATTCCTCAGGCTGAGTGAAGAGAACAGCCTGTCAACTGCATCAAACACTCACACATTCAGTGAGGTTCCTTCAGAACCCTGGAGGCTGCTCTAGGACAGGGCGGAGCTGGAGCTCTCGGCCACAGCAGTGACCCCGAGGGGGCGCTGCACTCTGGCTCCTAGGACAGCAGGAGTCCCGACACTCTCCCTGGAGTGCTCTGATCTGCTCTCCTTCTGGCAGGAACAGGACAGTAGGGTCACAGTCCCATGGTGGACCTCCCTGACCTGTGAGAGAGCCTGAACCCCACCCTCCCTTCCTCCCACAGCCACTCCTCAATGATCAGGAAGCAATTACCCATCTGTCAATTAGCCAGGCCCTGTCTTTCACTTCCTGAAACTCAACTGTTGGTGCTCACTGCTCATTAGCACCGTGAAAAGCAGGCTGCAGAGGGCAGAGCTGACATTCAGTTTGCTGAGCTGTGTCGGGGAGGGAGTCTGGGGAGAGGTACAACAAAGGAAACCTAGGCGCTCCTGGCAAAATGCAGTGGCAGACAGGGCTGCACACAGGTGTTTCCAGCATGGGCCTCTATTCCGGTCGATTACTGTCTCCTAGGTAACTGAGACCTGGCCCTGCTCTCAGGACAGGAGAATCCACCTGTAAAGGTCAGTCAGCAAGACTCAGAAACTACATGGCAGTCGTCCCTGGATCACTCAGAAAAAGTGCTGTAACAAACATTCTTTTCCAAATATGACACAAATTCCTGTTTTAGTGAAATGAATGTAGTGCAAAAATGTTAAAGTGTAGGCTTCCTGTCCCTACTGACATTAAGAGGAAGGAGGGCATTGTTACCAAGAGTCTGCAAAACTAGAAGAGTCTGGTGGGTAAGTCACGGCACCATGGTTTAGAGGGTTAAGCTTAAGTTATCCAACTCATAGGGTGAAAACAAGGACAAATTAGACAAATAGAACAGGAGACATCTCCACTGCTCCACAGGTGGGCTCGGAGGTGTCTATGACACTGTCGCTCCTGTAAACCCCACCGGGTTCCTGGGCTTCCGGAGGGTCCCCTCTGGCTTCCAGTCCACCTAAAACCACACACGGCACTTCCTTCCAGCAGGGGGCGCCAGAGCAGCGCTCTCCCTGCCTCGCTGGATCAGGGCTCTGCCTTGGCCACTGCA